GGGACATCCGTTAAAATTGGAACGATACAGAGAAGATTAGCATGGCCCCTGCGCAATTCGAGTCCAGATACAAGCAGATGACCACAATAAAATACTCCTGAATTGCCCCTTGGGCCAGTCAGTTCAATGATGACATCTCAAGACCTTTGCAAGAATTCAACCCCCATTTCAATTGCCACTCTCGTTTAACGCACAGATCGATTATTACCCGCTCTCTTTTCGCACAGAGAGCAAGGTTTTTTTTTTTTTTTTTTTTTTAACAGAGAGCAAGGTGACCAACTTCCCAGCCATATTATATTATACTAATCGCCGAAAGTAAACACAAAAGGCAACAACAAGAACAACAACGATTAATAAAACGAAAACAGTAATGAAGGCAGAATGAATGAAGAGAACAAGCGGGGCCAAGGTAATTGAAGGACTACAGCAGGGCCCTAAGGTGGAGCCGCGACTGAAAAAGCTGAATAAAAAAATCGGCAGGATGGCGTTCTAAACAAGAACGCAGACAAGAACAGAAGTGTGCACACCGTACAGAAACCACACCTTCAAGTCCAGCAAAGCCAAGAGCAGCCAGGTAGAAAATCCCCACGATGGAGCTCTGTACTGGAGCTCTGTGTCGAAAACCAGCCAAACACAAAAGCCACGACACCGCACAGAAATGATACTCCATTTCCAGCAGCTTCATCTCACGTGCTCGTCTACAACAGCGAGCCTAGCAAGAGACAATCTTCCACACCCGTCTATAATGGCGAGCGCGGCAAGGCACGGTAGAATGACAATACTCACTCCACGCATCTACTTCATATCTGTGGCCAGATGCAAAAGAATGCCCTGGTCATACCTCCACAAAGCGTAGCCAGGCATAGTATTCGGGTAAGTAGATAAAAAAAGCAATTTAAGGAACTGCGTCATCCCTGTATTGTGTTTGTGTCTACTCGAGCTTCAGTGGGAGTTTTTTTTTTTTTTTTTTTTTTTTTTTTTTTTTTTTTAGTGGGAGCATTTTTTTTTTTTTTTTTACAAGAGAAACTCTGCTCATTCATATTACCACACCAAAAAAGAGGCCGGGAAAACCTCAACAAACAACCCGGGGCAAATTACTGGGACCATTACCCAGTTTAGGTGCAGGCCTTGGGACACAATGGTCTAGAAGCAGAATGGCCAATTCCGGACCGCTGCCCTGACACATCCCAACCCTGGGAAACAACAAAAACAAGCCACCAAGGCCCTCCAAAAACAAGCCACCAAGGCCCTCCAAGGCCGAACACAAACCAAAAGAAGAAGACTAGCTATTGAAGTAAAGTGACCACTGCTGCCCAACTATTCACAAAGAAACACACCAATCCCCATCCTATTCTTTCTAATCCTACATTAGTAGTTTACCCTAATACCTGTGATACACTAATTTGAAAGGAAAACGAACCATAAGAAAAGAAACAACTAAAACGTTGGAGGAGAAAGCTCCATCCTACCTAATTCTCAGATCACTCCCTCCGCTTTCAATCCCTCTGCCAGCCTACCGCGGCTGTCCCAACAAGTGACCAGGTTAGATCCCTTCATCTACACAGAAAACAACCAAGAATCCAGAATCAGTTTATCATTTGCAATAGTAGCCAGAGTACCACGGAGGCACCATGTCTGTCTAAACCATGCCAATCCCTCCGTTGTGATGATTTCAGCACCTTCCTTCTCCAGTCCGCCTGTATAACCAGTCTCAATTGGGATACAAATGTCGACAGAATTTGCTTGTTGGACTAGTCTTGGTCTTCAAAGACGCAGCTATTCCTGCTTGACCAAATCACATGGAAAGCCACCGCTCTGATTGCTAGTGCCACATAGCCCCACCCTTTGGCAATGTTCAAATGATCAGGGATGCCCCCTAGCAGTGACCAGTTCTTGGACCACTGAAAAGTGGATCCTGAGATGCGATCCCATTGTTTGATGACCCAGCGCCATATACGACTGGCTGCAGGGCAGTCCCAACACAAATATACTGTTGATTCAAAGGCCCATTGACACCGTTTGCATTTTAGCTCCACCCGTACCCCATGCTCTGCAAGCCATACTGCAGATGGACTGAGATGGTGTTGCCACCAGCGATATTAGCCATACTAGGGATGCTTGTCTTTGATTGGTGATCACCTTCAATTGTTTCCAACAGCATAGCAGATTATCCTCTATACATTTAGGATCTAAATCAATCAGCTGAGCCCATCTATTTCGAGCAACTGCCAGCGGATGTTTCACCGGAGGATTAAGAGTGTATCCCAATTGGAGGGAGTACTCTGTTATGGGAAGGTTTTGGCCCCCTTGCCCTCTTGCTCTCCACTCCCACCTTGTCGGATCTATTTTCAGGTGATCAAGTGGTTTCGCATCTGCAAAGACCGTACAGTTCATGGTATCATTCAGGTCCACCTGTTCAATTACTCTTACCTGACTCAGCGCTAAACCGAGACTAGGTTGATCATTCGTGTCACTCAGGGTAAGAGTCCTGTCTGGTGAGCAGTCCCAGGACGGGAAGACCCGCTTACCCCCACTATCGATCGAAAGCAGTTTCCATATTCTAGTCTTATCCATCGAGCTGTTTATATACCATGTCCCTGGAGGGTCTGCTGTAACTGCAAATAACAGGTCCTTCCATTTCTCCGGGATAGCAGAGATAATTGCATCCCTTCGATCCTGTAGATACCAGACCGCCCCTAGTGAGGAGCGGAGGGATCTTGCCGACTTCCATGATCCAGTTAACTCATCCCAAATGTCGCTTATTCTTACAATTCCTCTGCCAATCCAAGAGCGTCCAAAACTTGTTGCCGCTGAGTCTGCTGAGAACCAGTTCCAGTCTGAGTGTTTGATCATTGGATTTTCAAATATTGGTTGCAACCAGCGTTGTCGACCCCCGGCCCCGGGACCCCGCCGGGGTTCCGGGGTTCCGGGGGTCGGCACCTGGGCCCCCGGCCCCCTGTATGGGGAAAAAAAAAAAATAATAA